CTTTAGTCATGGTGCTCAAGTCTCCATGGAGCGTGAGAAGCCACTACAATCACCTGGCTCAGCCTGCTGTTTTCTTCCTGGTGCACAGGAATTTTTAAATCACCAGATCTTAGAGAAATTGAATCAAGTCAAAAAACATTTAGATGTCTCTGGAAATGCTGCCAAACACCTGAAGGTGGCTGTGGATCAGGTGAAGCTGTGTCTGGTGAGAATGAGTAGCTGCATGGATGGAGACAACTCCTCTAGGTGACCTGCACCAGTGTTCGATCACCCTTAGAACAATCAGAGGGTTTTCTTCTGTCTGAACTAAATTCCTTGTTTCAGTTTGTGCCCACTGTTTCCCAAACTGTCACTGGGTACCACTGGGAAGAATACGTCTCCATTGTCTTTTTGCTGCCCATCAGGTATTTGTACACATGGACAAGATCTCCCTGAGCTTTTGCTTCTCCGGGTCGAACAGTCCCAGCTCTCACGCTCTCCTTGTATGACAGATGCTCCAAATCCCTCGGTCATCTTCACGGTCCTTCACTGCACTCACTCCAATGTGTCCATGACTTTTTTCGGACAGGGGAGCCCAGCGCTGGCCCCAGCACCCCAGATGTGCCGAGCAGAGAGGAAGGATCACTTCCCCTCAACCCTCTGGCAATGCTCCTCCTAGGGCTGCCCACGGTGCCACTGGTCTTCTGTACTCTCTACATTGCTGTCTCACATCCAACTTGTTGCCCACCCAGATGCCCCTTTTCTACAAAGCTGCTTTCCTGCTGGTCACCCCTGGGTGCATGGGGTTATTCCTCACCAGGTGCAGGACTGGGGACGTCCCTTTGTGGAACCTTGTAAGATTTCTGTTGGCCCATTTCTCCAGCCTCGTTGAGGTCACCCAGCCTACAACATTCAACAAGCCTTTGGTATGCCATGGCCAGCAATACAGTAGGTGAACATCAGCAACTCACCCTCTTGCAGTTAAAAGAGCAACCCTCAACAGAAACTACAGTTTTAGGTCACAGGAAAAGGGGTTTGTACACTGGATTTCAGGCAAGTCTACCTCATTTAATGCAGAAACAAAGTAGTGACTTTTCACACCAAATCAGCGCTAATGTCTGCTGTGCCCTGGGATGTCAGAACTACTGAGACAGCAGCACCTGCTATGGCTGAGCACTGAAGCATGTGGTGTGCTGCTTGCATGACTTGCTAAGTCTAGCTCTATTGTACTTCCCTATCTTCCCATTCCAGGGCCACTTGGGGTACCTGTAACCCCTTTTCCATGTCGGAACTAAAACACAGTTCCACAGAGCATCTCTTGCCCTTTTTTATTTTCAAGTTCAATGTACTTTAAGTCTGGCACATAACTTCCACCTATCCCAACCCAGTAGATTTCCTAGGCTGGGATGAAAGCATGCCTTCAGCACTCAGGATGGCAGCCAGCACGGCTGAGCTTCTGTCTCCATAGGAAGCGCTAATTCAAATGAAAAGTAAAATACAAAGGTTTATCTGAAGCAGGATTTGCTAGCAAGGAAGCATTTGATTGCCAGTCCAAGCAGTAAAATCCGCTGAGAAAATCACTCCAGCAAATCTGTCACTTCAGTGTCTACTGTCCAAATCAACAGGTCTCTCCAGCACTTATTTGCTTCAAGGCAGGCATCTTCCCTCGGCAGCAGTATGAGTCATACCAGAGAAGATGGAGCCAGTATTTGCCAGCATGTAGGAAGCACACAGAACTTAGTATCTGACAAACACCATAAACCCAGCAACAGCTATAAATATTCGAAGATAGAGCATACTCTTTTGAATTTATTGTATACGTTATAATTTTGGACACATACCTAGATAATCCTCCTTTGAGTGCCAAATTTGCTTTCATGAGTGGGACAAAAATAAAAAGTTCCTGCAAACTGAAATGACTCAAAGTGCTGAGCCTATTGTATTTCAGAAAATAGATGCAATTCTTAGAAGCAGGGATCAAGAGCTGCCATCTACCACAAGCAATGCAGCTCTCAAGAATGAGAACACTGAATCACTAGAAAGGAAGAGGAAAACATACCAGGAGAAGGGAAATGACTGAATTTTACACATCCCATTTATAAAGGGGAACAAGATAGAAATTGCATTCCTCGTCGAGTAAGAGACGGACACTCAAGAAATTCCATTTAGGAAACAAGCCTGGGAGATCCCCCCCTGAGCCTATTTAATTGCCCACCTCCAAACCTTCATTCCCACCACAGTGCATCCTGTTGCCCTCCTGCTGGAGAGGCACACAGCAAACACTGCCCCCTCCCCCAGTACACAGGGCTGGTCTGTAGGGGCTTCAAGCCTCTGCTGTGCTGAGCCAGCTCTGCTGCACACTGACATCCCAGGCCTGAGCCAAGTACATTGACATTGGAGACAAAAGAGCAAAACGAAAAAGGTTTCTCTATGCCTGCTATAGCCTATGAGCTGTAGGTTCCTGGAAAACACCCCCAGCCTTGGAAACAAAAAGTTGGACCTGTTGGATTTCACTCACTCGTTCTACCTGAGTTGACATCTCAAACAGAATGGAGAGCATACATGTGACTTTGTTTTGGAAGACATTAGACAGATTTCATTATGTACCGATTCCATCCATGCAGATTTCCTAGATCCATCCAGCTTTGGTGTGTTTTACGACTCTAAATTCTTCCATTCTCCTTCCTCAGAGCATCCTTAGCCACGGTAGATTTACTGCTCTGCAGATGCCGTCTGCCTACAGCAAATGGGATGTGAAGCCATCAGACTGCAGGATGGCTTCTGCACCTCACGTGCGTAACACAAGCACACAAAGCAATTTACTCTTCAAAACTGATGAGAATTTGAGAGAGATTAGTGAGTGATTTTATCTTCAACTCCCTCCCCACAGCACATACCCCTTTTTCTCTCCATTTTGCAAAACAGTGAACCGTGTCCCAACCAGTTGTGAGGAGACAATGCACACAGACTCCTCATAGTCTATCACCATGAGACAGATTTAAGATTTAGCACATTTACAGTTTGTACACAACCATATAGGCTATAGCAGAAATTGGACTCTTTCTCCTCCCCATTGTGAAAACAAGGCTCAAAAATGACCAAGCTTGATGAGTTGAGCCACATTCAGCGGAGTGAGCAAGGCTACGCTTAAAACCAAGATTTTTACCTTCCATTTGCCATAAGCCAGTTGTACCGATGTTCAGCTGATTTACTTCAGCTGATTGTAACACTGCTCCTGCCAGGACCATCACCACACCAGTCTCCTGTGGACATCAGTTGTGCAATCCTGTCCATTCCTCCATTCTGCTGATGGTACGACAACAGCTTGGGACCTATTCCAAGAAATCCTTTCTCAGTTACTTTTTAGACCAGCCACCGTGCTGAGGGAGCAGACAGGCAGGATGGACATGACACAGTTGAGGCTGGCCAGGCTCTTTTACAGGATTTTTGTGCTTATTTGGCATGACAGCTCAGTATTCCACGTGCCACTCCAACAGGAGTTAAATTTCTACCTGATCAGCTTATGCTGGGCATTGAAATATCAGCAAGATCTATATGCATGCTGAGAATGGATGCTGCAGTAACTGGAAGGCACCAGGCTGTTACACAGCTTATTCTCTCAAAAGCAGAGACAAAGTGTGTAACATTACTTTCATCTACAAACCAGCAAAATTTGCAATTCCATCACTTCCCTGACTTAAGTTGCACCCATAAAAGCCCAGCTATACCAGGAGGTTTTAACTGAAAGGTCTGTGAAGTAAGAGCATACTAGAAAACTTAAAACTTCATAAAAACTTTTCTCTAAGGGAGCCTTAGGATCAAAGCGCAATGAATCAGTTTCTATGACAATAAGTAATCTCTGGATGTTCAATTGCATGTAATCTTCCATATTCACTCTTTCTCATCGTGCCCAGGAGGAAATGATACCACATGTTCGACATGAACATTGGTGCAACCATCACTGAACACCACCCTGTTCTGGGGAAAACTGGCACTAAGGGGACACTGCCCAGTTTGCTGTGCGGACAAATCAATCCCCAACTTCCATCAAAGCTGGGGTGCTCCTCGAGAGCCATGCTAGGATTATGGCAACATTGCTGACAAATTTCCATGCATTTTTACACAGTAAGGGGTAGAAAACTTTGTCCCAAGGGCAGAAGAGGATACTCCATGCTGAAGTGAAAACTGGTTGCCTTCAACTGCTTGTAGTCCAGGTCATCACCAAATTCCAAAGTTTAACTGACTCTCCCAACATGGAGAAGCTCACAGTGCCCAGTGTACGCTGGTATTCCTGTGTTGCCTTACTCTGCTGACAGACAGCAGAGGGGAAGTAAATCAGCAAGCAGCTTAACCTGTTGAGGAGCTTACAGAACAACCAGCCTGAGAAACAGCAGTGCAATACTTCCCAAGATGCTTACAGAACACAGTAACTGTTAATACTTCCATGCTTACATGGAACTTGTTCAAATACAGCTGAATGAGACACAAACCCTAAAAGAAAAGAAAAAGGTGTATTTCCAAAGTATATTTTTAGGTAGAGAGAGGATATCCCAGAAGCTCTTCCTTCCTAGAGGTGAGATCAAAATAATCTCTAAAGTCTGCTAAAGTAAAAAATAAGTCCACGACATCTCCACATTTCAGAGCCATGAAACCAAAGCACCAACCCAAATGTTAAAATACATATTTAAGACCAAGCCAACACCTTATCTAATAATTTGATGAAACCACTAATGAAGAGATCCTCCAGTAAACAAAAGATCACATAAGCTCTTTTGTTTGCTTGTTAACCAGTCATAGTTCCCTAATAGAGATAGATACTGCTGCTTTCAGAGATACGTTACAGGGGTTCCTGCTGCTGCTACATAGCCTTAGATGATGGTTACAACAGCTGTGTTGAGTAGGAGAGCAAGCAAACATTCTTTTCCCAAAATCAGAAATATACAATTCCCAAAAATGGGAGCGAAAGACAAAAGGTAATGAAAAATACTGCTGAAGAAAGGTTTAATTAAAAAAATCAGGAATTCAACAGTGCCTAAATCTTTATTTTTCATAACCTACATATTTTTTTTTCAAATTAGACAGTTTTACATTTTATGACACAAAAGGAAACTTAAATTACTGATAGTTTACATGTAAGCTTGATTCCAGTCTTAATGGAAGAAGAACAAAAACAAAAACCCTCAAAAAGGCTCCCATATTACACTTCTGTTTCATGAATTGGCAGCTGTTAGGTCTCCTTAGAAATCTCAGATTGTCTGCTGCTATTAGTGTAATCGGTTACAAAGCACAAAAGTCCCTACCTGTAGCTACTGAAGGAGATACAGAGATAGGTGTGCACCATTACAGGCAGCTGTTGCTTGTGATACACTGCACCATGTTCCAACAAGGGCCTTTTCCATGCCAGCTGCTCAGGGCTTTGAAGGGTAATGCAGCAAGGTAAAAAAAATTGCCACTGTTCACAGATTTCCAAGTGGTGACTGACATTGTCACGGTGAGGGACTGATCTGAAACAACCTTTGGTTTTGAAAGCAACCTTCATTTTTTTAAGTTCCTGGAAGGAGAGTCTCAGATCCCATTTTGACTTGTTTTCAAAATGAAAAGCATCACCACACAGTCCTACGAGGTAAAATGCCAATTTTAATTACTGCATCCCTGAACTCAGCTACTGCTTTTGGGAGGTTTTTCATTTTAAAAGCCACATTTTAATCTCTCTCTGTATCATAGCAACAGTCTGCATGCAACTTCACAACTCTACTCTGAAAACTCCATTTTGTCACTGAGTGGAAAAAAAACAAAAAGGAAAAAAACAATCTTGAAGTAAAATGCAGTAAGAAGTTGTATGGTATGTTACACAGCGATTTGGCGTGTCACTTTGTTTTGTTTGTTTTTTTAAAAAAAAGCTATAAAAACCACGTCAGAGGAAGGTTTAAACTTTTGGTGCAACAGACTGTTGCTGGGTAAGCAGTAATTACAGTGTATTGACCTAGCACAAATGGCAGCAGAATACATTAGAACAGCACAACACACCCCGCTGGTCTCAATATATCACCTCAGGTACCAGCTGAGTATCATGACGAGCCATACACAGTCGCTGTAAGGAACCACTCGCGATTGTTTGCAGCTGGAAAGCCTTTCACTTGCAGCAGACAAACAAAATGAATCATACAGCTGGCCTAAACCATACACAAATCTAGCTACCGTGTTCACTGCCGCTGGGGAAAGGAGAAGCGTATTAAAAAAAAATAAATCCAATGACAGAACGAGTTGAGCGGTTTTGGCGATGTTGTCGGGGTCTTATCTCCTCCCGCAGCGTTCACAAAGTGCGCTTTTCAAACGAGAAAAATTGACAGACTCCGGCATGCCCTGTTTTGACCAATTCTGCAGCACACAACAGGCTGGATTTTAAAATGTCAACTAGTTACCAATTGACGCTTGTAATAGGAGATTTATCAGGAGTCAACTTCTATAGTTACTTTACAGTTCTGTGAATCATGCACTGATACTCTTGAAAGCACACAAGTAAGCTTCAGTGTATATTTTTGCAGCAGTCAAGTTTTTCCCCAATTAGACTTGATTTTTATTAATGACTTTAAAATTACAGTTTGACTGCTGAAATTCATTATTTACATTGCAGAACATTTTTGAATTGGTTAAATCGCTTGTTTGTTAGAGGGACTTTGGGAAAACATTTGAGGGCTTTCAAATAAGACTTTCGTTCCATTTCCCTTTTGCAGTGAAGAGGCAGAGTCAGTTCAACACACCAGAATAAAATAAGAAAAAGAAAAAACAACGAATTAAAGTAATATTCAAACCACAACATTTAGTTTATCTACATCCAGCTCAACAGCAACATTTATAATATCAATAATTTTTATCAGATTTTTTTCTTTAGGGTACCTTTTTATATGTTCTGATTATTTACAACTGTACAAGCAAAGCACACACTTCCAAGTGCACATATTTAATACAGTATTGACTATTTGCATTTACAGGTTTTTCAACAATCTGAAAAAGATCAACTGTTTAAGATCTTTAAGGTATATTACAAAAACTGCTGCTAGTTCCTGTACTACAGTATGTTTACCCAGTAAGACCAGTGACAATAGATACATACTGTAACTGAGTAATTCTGTATTCCATTCATGCTAACCCTCCACGGGGTCAGACCTCATTAACTCTAAGCTGTCTTGTACAAAAGTTAAGGCAAAGTCATTTTCAAGTTTAAATAAAATTCAAGTCTTTAAATATTGGATGGAAATAATTCTTTAAAAAAATCAGTTGTTTAAATAAACATTTTTGTGGAATAAACTGTACTGTCATAGTCAGCAGGAATGAGTTTTGTCTGAACTTCCTGCAGTTTAAACATTTAAAGAAAAACTTTAGGCATCTTAAAACAAAAATAATTTATATTCAACTTTATTAGAAACTTGCTAATTTAGTGCATCCTTGTCCTTCAGAAAGCGCATCACTTCTAAAGTAAATAAGTGTGAGAAACCTCATCCCAGAGGTAAATATCAGGGATCTCTTCCTCCACCACACAAAACAAACACCACTATCTCACGTCTTGAAAAATTTAAATCCATATGCCAATGCTTGTAGTTACAGGAAGATGTCAACACGAGGCTGACTAAGATATGAACTCTTTCAAAGAGCACTTGGGGCAGAGCTTAAAAAAAAGTCTACACAGAGCACAGGGGTAACCAGAATATACAGCGCTGACTCAGTTAACTCCCTTACAAGTACAGGGAAGCTAAAGTTATCACAAGAAGGCTACACTGCTTTCTCCTGATAACATCCACTCACTAACAGGCTTCACCATCATAGAAGCTCACAGACTTGATTCTTTCTATTCACAATGTGCTTTGTATTTGCAAATTATAACATCAGTTTTATTCTGGAGTGAGAAGATGGTTACTTGCTTGCAGTAAGTCAAAAAAAAAAAAGGAAATATTTTAGAAAGACTGCTATGGTGCCCCGTAGAATTAATTTTGTGTGTGCAAAACATCAAAAAAAGATTATTTTTTTAAAAATACTAGAAACAGCTACTCATTTAACCTAAAAGTGCAAGTTCATTTGCTGACACTTAGTACAGCAGCCCAATAAAAAAAAAAATCTTCAAGGTCACATACTAGTTTGTAAAATATGTTCTACTTCCTTGCACTCTACACACTAGCTGCCGTTATCAGTCTTTTGGACACTTTAGATATGTACTTGCAGACCTGTTTATTAAAAATATTGCAGCAGCACATTTCTGCTTAACAGTTTAGAAAAAACTCACTATACAGAGCTTGCACTCACACAGCCACAGAGAGGCTTAATAAAAAGTTGATTTCTTTTTTAAAGACAAATATTTTACACCTTGAAAAAAAGGAAAAAAAAAAATCACACTAAGCTTCACCTCCAATTAAGCACCAATCTAAATGTAAGGTTTAGAACAACTATCCAGAAATACCCAGAAAAATAGAATGTTTGTTCAAGAGGGGAAAAAGTATTTCACAGAAAAATAACTTGCAGGCATTGTTATATGCCCAGTATCACTGCAAGCTCCTAACCAGCAACTCATTCTCAGGTATCTTAGTGGGAACATGGGTTTAATTTGTGGGAAGCAGACCTCTTCTCAAATCCCTCCCAGGTGTTAGTTTCACTGAGGAGATTTTGGAGGGGTACTCTGTTCTTTATTTAAGCGTTTGCCAACGGCTGGAGGGGACGATCTGCGTCCTGACTGTCTCCTCTGGTCTTTGGGTTGTCCAGGATGTGACTTTGCAGGAGGAGGTTCTCTGTTTTTCTCTATTGTTTCTGTGGGCTTTCTTTCTTCTTTCCCACATGCTACAGTGTTTGGCTTCTGTTCTTTCTGGGGTTGCAATGTAGGAGGATCCTTAGTTGTTCTCTGGCAAATTTCCGCATAACTAGGTTTCCGCAGTTCCTGTGAAATTGGAAGCAAACAGGACAGAGTTAAACAAAGCACTCTGAGAAAAAATAATTTACTTTTATGAACAGAAAAAAGTTTAAGTCCTTGTCCCCAAAGACTGCTGCATTAAAATATGGAGATGAGGGCTTGACTATGAAGTTTACAGAAGCTGCATAATACAATCAATCTGAAGACAAGGTAAAATGCAAAACAGTGTTCCAGAAAAATGGGGTACTGGCAAAATACTTCCCATTGAAACAAACTCTGAACCAGCTGAAAGATGATGAATACCCTGGTTTAAATATCAACATATGTACTAATGCTTCTACCTCAAGTATACTACCAAGGAGAGGATTTGGGTAAGGAGCTATCTTTTGCACTGTTAGTGGCATAATTGTATCATGCAAGTGATCATGAAGCCATCGACACACAAATTTAAAGCTGTTGGGCAAATTCAGGGTTGCTGGGCTCACATGATTAAGCAAAACTGGCTAGCAATAAATACTCTTTTAAATGCATCAAACTGTATCATTAAGAGAAAGTGAAGTAATAAGGTCACTTACTATGGCAGCCCCATTGACTTGTACCGATTTACATGCAGTACTGAGTGTGGAAGAAGAAAGTCTTTCTGTACTCTGTGTCTCTCTCTGCTGTTTATCCACAACCTTGGGGTCCCTGTAAGCATCCAGCAGGAAGCAAAGCTCATGAGAAGTGAAACTTCAGGAGAGATCAATGATCTAATAATAGGTCTAAAAAGTTTGAGTAGGACTACAAGTAGTCACAGCTATAATTTGCCTAGCACATTATGACTAGCATTGCTTTTTAAAAAGTTATCAAATTTAAAAAAAATATATTCCTGTGGAACTTGACACTACCTGTAGTTTATGATGTTCTGATAGCATTTAGTTATCTTCCCCTGATACTCAAAACACCTCAATTTGATTTGCAGGTTCCAAATAGTGTGTTACCAAAAACTTTCATTATGGTATGGACATCAGTACTGCCCACAGGGCCATGGGTTTACTCCCCATGCTTCAAAGTCAGCTAAGTACAAGACAGTAAGGTATTCATTAAACTTCTAAACACATGCAGAAACCAAAACCCAACACTAAACTTTTGTCTGCTAAATGACTACTATGATTGAGTCACTGGTATGATATTGTTCAGAAATTAAACTTCATTGCCTTTACTACAAGTACAGTATACAACAAAATATTACTTCTTTCACTGATTAAGATTTTAATAGCTATTTACATTGTTCTGCCTGATGAAAGAAAACGCAAATGTGATTCAGAGCAGAATAATTATACCCATGTAATTAAGTGCTTACTCAGAAGACTGGGGTGGCGAAGGAGACCTTTCAAAGGTCCTGGGCAATGTAGAAGAAACTGGTAACAAGGGCTCTCGAGGAATTCCTGATGGAATAGTGTTGGTACTTGCATCCACATTAATGTTCTGAAGGAGGAAAAGAGGTACAGAAGGACAATCATAATATCCAATTAATATGGATAATTAGCACAACCAGGAAACAGTTCACAATTTGATTTATAAAGATAAATTAACTATAGGAAGGTACAGAAGCAGCCAATATATGTAGTATAACAAATATGTTATTTTTTAACTTTACATTTATTTAGAAACACAGACAAATAAATAACACACTGTGGTTGTTTCCAAAAAAATTGTATGCTTAGGTCCCTTTGGGACATATCTGGTTGACAAACTTACTTAGAATCATAGAATCATTAAGGTTGAAGAAGACCTCCTAAGATCAGAGCTCAACCTTTGATCAATCATCACCTCGTCAACTAGACCATGGCACTATCTGCCTCATTCAGCTGTTTCCTGAACACCTCCAGGAATGGTGACTCCACTGTTTCCCTGGGCAGCCTGTTCCAGTGTTTAATTACCCCTTCAGTGAAGAAATTTTTCCTGATGTTCATCCTGAACTTCCCCTGGTGCAGCTTGAGGCCACTTCCTTTTGTCCTGTCCCTGGTTTCCTGGGAGAAGAGACCAACCCCCACTTGGCTACAACCTCCTGTCAGGGAGTTGTAGAGAGCGATAAGGACTCCTCTGAGCCTCCTATTCTCCAGGCTAAACAATCCCACCTCCCTCAGCTGTTCCTCATATAACTTCCTCTCCAGACCCTTCATGAGCTTTGTAGCCCTTCCCTGGACATGCTCCAGCACCTCAACGTCTTTCTTGTAGTGAGGGACCGAAAGCTGAATCAGGATTTGAGATGCAGCCTCCCCAGTGATCATTCAGGTGAGGGATACAGGGGAACAATCACTGCCCTGGTCCTGCTCACATTTATAACCATTTTGTTTGTTTTAGAGGGTGCTACACTCTTTGTACTGTTTGTGATGTGTCTGACCCTAAAAACTCTAAAACCTGAAAAGATTCTGGTATGCAGAAGCAAAAGCAGTGGGAGAACACAAGCATAGAAGGAACAGGATAGCCATTCCTTCCCCCCAGCCCAGTCATCATTCAAAAGGTGTAAAACCTAAGACTCCTGTGGTCACTATTAAAAAGGAAAATGGTATTTGATATCACTGTTTTAAAATCAGACAGCATAGATTATTGCAGTAGATCTAAGCCTAGTCTGACTCAGAGCAGAAGTAAGACAGTAAAGGGTGGATGTTGAGAAATAAAAGAACAGCTTCTATAGTTTTACTCACTATAATAGTGTGCAAAGGCTTGAAGTTGCAAGCTGCTGAGCATTCTGGCCCAAGTGCATCAGAGCTTCTAGGTACATAGTTAAGTGTGAATTGTTTCAAGTGAAGCAGACATGCAAGTGCTGTTCCTTGTCAAAACAGCCCTTGATCTCATGTGCTGCATTTCCCAGTTACAAAGTGTGGGATCTTTACTACCTGCCATTCCCCAGAGCTACAACTAGAAGAGCATCACAACGCAAAGAGTATAAAGATATGATGCTTGGATAACTACTATTGGGAATTATACAACTTTAGTCCACTCAGCTTCTGTACTTTGAACTTGCCCATGTATAAAACAAGAGTAGTACTGTGTAACTCTACTGCAGTGCTCTGTAACCCTACATCAGGTGACATGAAAAAATATTGAGACCAAAGTGAAAAGCAGACTGTATACATTGGCAAGATTCTGATGTTACTCAAACACCTTTGTAAAAGAACACAATCGCTCTTTGGAGCCAGTTGCCGTCACTTTATTCTTTATTTAAATGCCAACAAGGAAGGGCAGCATAATCCCTTTCCTCCATACAATGGTACAGAATAACTCCTGGAAACTGGAAAAATAAACTTGAAAATTGAAGTATACTTTTTAATGTGTCAGTGCATTGCACTATCACTAAACCTCAGAGCCTGACTGATAGGAAGACTGCCTCTACAGCGGAGAAGTGGAAGTTCTTTACAGTAAGTACAGTGAAAATTAAGTACTAGATTTGTAATGGGGGAACAAGGGGTTTTCAGCTGCAGGATTATTAGCAAGTGTTGGAATTATAAATAAAACATGAAATACATTAGTCAAAAAAACTAATAGTCATAATTAATAGAGGCACAATACTTTAAAAATTAATACATCTTGGCCAAAAAAGAGCCTATAATCTGTAGTACTGACAATAAGTTAAACACTGTTTTTACCATGGCTCTGAACTGCGCATTCCCCCTAAGTGCAACCCTGGAATGTATCTGCCCCTCTTACCACTTGGAGGAGAGAATAGATAGCTTGTCTGTACAATCCCTGCACCCTTTGAGTGCAGGCTGCCCTGCTGCTTCCCCTTCCCTCAACCAACAAATACCCTGTACCCACCCCTGACACGTGGGCACCAAAAAAACCAATTCTGCAACAGGCTGGTTTTAGAGACGACATGAGAGATTTTGGTGTTTCACCAGGCTGATTTGAATTGCTAATCCAGGGGTTAACTTCTTCAGTTGTGGTACAGCTAGAAAAACACAAGTTAAATTAGAGCTAGCAAAAAAAGCCAATATAGACTTCCAAAGCCTAGAGTGTTCCAGAGTGCAGAGGGTTATATGAGTCTTGCTGGAGGAGAACATGCTGTCACTCACAGATGGCATGGTAGAGACAGTTCTAAGAATGAAATCTATGAACAGCTACTGAACATTAATTTTCAACTGCATCATCTACTACATCTATACAGCAGTGGTTGCCAAGTTATCCTGGTGTATTTTTATCTTTCTGAGCAATATGACAAGACAACGCTGGGATCCAGCTGGTTTTGGTAACAGTTCTTGTTCCAGCTATGATGCTGTGTGTACTGAGATCATGTAGGCAGCTTCGTTATTTTGGTGCTTAAAAGTTTGTCTCTGTCACTTTAAAGTGTTTTATATACAACTTAGAAATCTTTCAAACAGGAGGAAAATGTATCACATACTTTTCACCTGAGTCTATCAAAAAGCCTGAGGCAGTAAAGAAGAGCAAGGAGTATATTTTCTAATCTCTGCTATTAACATCTATTTATTTTACCGGTGCTCATATTCTACACCAAAGAGAGTATGCAAGAAATTCTAAGACGCAAGAGAAGAAGGCAGCAGCACATCATTTGACAGCTGAAAAGCATTCCTTACAACCCATGTAAAACCACAAGTTATTTCCACATATAAGCCACCAAACCTGAAAACAATAGGTATGCAATTCTCTGGTTTCCCAACAAAAATGAACACCCACTACTCACTCTTTCTTTTGACGTTCCTATTACCACATTGGACAGTCGGTTTTCAAACAGGTCTTCAGTCTTCAAATTGCCAGCAGCCCCAGGTAATGGAGGAAAGCTAGATAAACCCAATTCAAAGCTGGGAGATGGAGGTTTTGGGGGTGGTGGAGACTGTGTTTGGCCTCTCTGGAATAGAAATAACACGTTGAGGTTACTTCACAAGATGACAGAAAAGACTCACAACTCTAAACTGTATTTTGCACTTGATATAAATCAGTGAAGCCCTAGAGAAGCTCCCCCATCCCACCTCCCAAGAAAACTACATGGTACCAAGGAATAGATGCTTTCCTTTTCCACTGTTGCGGGATGGCATATGCATAAGCTTTAGTGATACTGGTACAGTAAGAAAAGTCTTCTCCCTGACCCTTCCTTCAGGACAGAGACACTGACACAAAGGAAAATACTGGTTTAGGTTGTCATGATATAGTGAAAATATGAAGCCCATTTATGTGCAGTTAGCAACATTCTAAATAAAAGACAGAAGTCAACAAGAATCTTATTTTCAGATTTATCAAGAAATAGCAAGACAGCATGCCTTGCATGTAGTACAGACAACAGCAATTTTCATCTAATTAGTAAGAACTTATAAGGTCACTATGTAAAAATGCAAAGATAAGTGTCAAAACCATTTTTGAAATAGAGAATTCACTAAAGATTGACTAGGCCTATGAAGAAAAACAATGCCCCAGGCAAAGAACCCCAAGATCAGTGGGATAAATGCAACTATTATGCAATACAGACAGCAGTTCAGGAGTTACAAGTACCACAGCTAAAGATCACTTGTGAGGACTGCTTGTAAGGATTTGTAAAGCTACATTTTATTTACACAGAAAAAATAAAATTCCTTTTGTAATATGCAATAACTGAAGTTACCAATTAACTCCATCTGCACCAGGCAAACAAAGTAACTGTTTCTTGACTGTGCTCAGGCCTGTGCTAAGATGATCTCTGCCACAAAATGCCAAATGCAAAGTACTCTGAAACAGTTCCTATTTTGAAAAGGAAAATATGAGTATATGGTCAAGATGGTCTGAATGGGAGAACAATGCTTCTGGACAAAAACAGCAACAGATACAAGACCACCTTTGAGTTCTTTTCACAAACTACAGATTATGTCAAAAGAAGTGTGCCAAGAGGGAAGTGGGGAAATAACAAATACAGAGGCAAGAACAACTGCAACTCCCAGGACTGCCATTGACCCAGCATTACACCCCCAGGACACAGTCTAAGAGTGCTACAGCAACCAAGACTGCACACCTCCAAAACTCAACTCTGTGACCTTTGGCAGGTCATCTGAGAGAGACTACACTTATCCAGCTCAAACTGCAAGAGGAAAAGCTTGGGTTTTTCCAAGAATCATTCTTCAATTATAGCACTTAGTTTTCTTAAAGTGGACTGCAGTTCTGCAATAGAAAGTGCTTGTATGTTACAAACACTAAGTTACACAGTTGAGTCCTAAAAACCCTAACATATTAAGAGTCAAATGGCATTAGCATCTTAAATTTGCAGGATGAGGGAGGAGTTGAATGAATTTTAAACTAATTGCATAAAATTTCTCAAGTTACTTTGTTACAAGTAACTAATTGGCTTATGACTGTAGCCTCAGAAACAATCTGATCAAACAGTTCCATGCTCTTTTTCATGCAAACGTGCATACTCTAAGTTTTTTCCTTTTAAAGAAAGATCTTCTTCAGAAGTCATTACTCCATTCAAATACAACTGGTTTTAGTGATGTCCTGTGTACACTATCTAATGGCTAAAGCACCAATCACACAAGAACTAGGACGCTGGATTCAATTACTTCCACAATCTAAAGGGGTCAAATTTTAATCTTTTGCTTCAGAGTACGCTCCTTCCCACTGTACACGGTCATGTGTGTGCAGCAGTTCTCACCTCTGCTCAAGTTACATCACCAGACAGTACAGACTGAAGATTCCTGGGCCAGAAGAGACTAAGAAGGAACCTGGCTGCACAGGCTGCAATTACAGCCTGATGCTGAAGAAGAGAACCATGGGTCTCCAAAGAAGCCATGTCTTCCTGTTTTTACACTCAGAGTTACAATAACCTTTGCAGTCAGCTCAGTCAGAAAGTGCCACTCCGCTCAGTAAGAGTGTCCAAGGTAATCCTTTCACTCCAGTCACTCACACACCTAACCTGTACCACTTCCTGGTTCTTTCAAATACAGAAAAAAGTTAATAGGAAAACTTCAATCTAAAAATTCAAGCGGTTTTGAAAGGGTAAAAGAAAGAAGTGCAGGGAACCCTACATGTAATCTGATTTCACTGGCTTTGGGAAGTTTGACAAGAACTCAAAGCAACCAAAGGGAAGGAATGACTTGCTAAACCTTCATGCTCCTTTATCTAAGTTCACTAGGGCTACTCAACAGCAGGAGCCACAAATACACAAATGCAATTATTCCAGATCCTTGGGGAAGAGTTATGGCTCATGCAGTGATATTACTTTACAATTGTAACACGAAAAAGGGAATAATCTGGTCCAACATCATGAACATGCCACATGTGGCAAAAACTAATTGCAGAGAAGTTATTGGTTTTATCACATCAAACCTTAAATCCTATGAAAAAAAGTTTATTCTTTTCTACAGAATGTCTAGTGCAGCCTTTTCAAGTATCAAGGCTATTTTGGTATTAACCTTGAATTTCAGTTCACCAAAACCACAATATTTCAGTAGTGTCGGCATAACCTTATCAAGTGGTTCTTGAAGAGGCATTTAAGAAACAGAACCATTTCATAACTAATATTCTTGCTACACATTATGACAGCAGGATGTATGTCCTTTACCATCTACATGAAAGTATAATAATGAAGTATCAAGTGTTTTGAACTTCAGCTTAGCTGTTTAGCTCACTCTGAATGTGAACACTGGCAAGTTGACAAAGCAACACTGAAATGGAAATTTTTTGCTACTCTAAGAGTAATTTTGACTTTGTCACCTGCTACTCCACGTAATATCCATACTATTGCCTTGTCACCCTACATTTACTATAGATGAATAAGATGACAAACACTCACTGTAAACTTGTCCTCCCTTTTCTTCCGGTAGCCATATGAGTTTTTCCTAAGGGAAAGAAAGCAGATATCAACACCTTGCCTACAAATGGACGGAAAGCAGTTAATGAAACCAAGTGAAATTAATTCAAATTGCTATTTGATCCACCTTTGTTCTAGACAGTTTATTAAGAAATGCTTTGAGGAAAAATTCCCAGCAAGCTCTCATTCAAGTAAAGGCACAGATCTTATGCAAGTCAGCATAAGAATACACTGGTTACAAGTAATTCCTGTGTTAAAAGTAACTCAGTGCTGGTTACATAGAAGGGCTAGACAAAACATTACAATGTCCAAAGTAAAGGGTTTAGGGTTTTTAATACCAATGTAACTTTTCAAATATAGCTAACTATTTTCAGTTCAGGTAAAGCTCCTTCAAAACGTTTTCAGCACTTTTCCCCTAGCCCTGTTTCAGGTAAAGCCCCTCCAAGCAGCAGTTTAAAATTTGCAATACATTTTAATTTGGTTTCAATATATTTAAGGTTTTTTGTTTGACTTTTATTATTCTAAATGCATTCAATACTGAAACAGCAGAATATAAATCTAAGTATTGACTATTCCTATAAATTTTTTGCAGTCTATAGCTTGAGTAATCTTGTTTCCTAAGTTCTTAATCATACTTTCATCCATTAGTTATAACACAATTTGGCAAATTAGATTTAGACAAGTATTACAGTACTTGCACAAAATCCCCACTTAATTTTGCAATGATACAAGTCTAAAATAGGATCATCTGCGAAACACTCGAGTTATCTTCCAATTCAGTAAGTCACTCAAAATGTGATTTACTTAAGAGACATAAACACAGCCATTATCAAAGCTACACAATCCTTTTATAAAGCACTTATTAGAACCCCATTTTATTAAAAAAATTTCAAGATAACCCTGCTAAATTCTCACATTAATATCGGCACCACCAATTTTCAGCTCCCCAGGTAGTTGGTTTTGGATTTTGTATCTTTGCTTTTTAGAACTACATAACAATAGTTTCCCTAGATGCATGTAGCCCTTTTTCCTCCCTCCACACCAATCCACTGTCTTTGTTGCTGTCTATGTCCAACTTGGCCAAAATTCTGATCTTTCAACTGAAAAAGTTAAAAATGAACACTGCTACTAGAGGTTCGGGTGCACTGCTGAACAATGGAATGGGCAGAACTTCCTCATTAAAGTCAAGCAAATAATATACAAAAACTTTCCTATACCAGATGAAGAAAGGAGGGAGGGGAGGATCAGATCTTATAGCTGTACATTGTTCATCAGTTGCCACTGATGATTTTCATCTGGAAGGAAAGTATGCAAGTCCACTTTGCACCTGTTCTGTACGTAACACTTCCTCGGAAGTACTTTCCAAGATTTTATCTTTGAAGGGAGAATCTCATCTTAAAGCAGTATTAAAAACAGCAACAACACTGCACCTCTTCACTGAATGGAGCAGTTTAAAAGCAGCAATACTTGGCTGTCCAGAGGACAACTACAGAGTGCACTCACCTTCCTCTCCCCAGTCCAGGAGACGAGTCAACGCTGGTCTGTTCCATCCGCCCAGTTCCTACTTCCCTCTTGGTGTAACTCGTAGTAGCACTCTGCATCCGTGTCCTGCTTTGTCCCGGCTGCCGCGTCTGTGGACTCCTGACGCCATTGATTAAACGATCAGCAGAAAAGTTGAATATTGTAGGACTGTCTAGAAGCCCAGGTCCCCTCTCTGCACTGGGTATTGTATGTCGTATATGAGACTTGCTAGGATTCCTATAAATTCAAAAGTCATTTCAACATACATACTAGGAGAGATCTTCTGAGGCCTAAGCCTGTACACAGGATTCAGAAGAAGCAAGATCTTTAGTCCTTTATTGCGTATTTCATGTACAAGAATGATCATCATTCATTTTAACAGGTTGTGTGAATTATCAAAATTAACCTTTTCACTGTCTATTTTCAACTAAGCCTTTACTAAAACCCACTCGAAATGGAAAATACTATATGAATAATCCTGCTGATCATGTCATCTTTCAGAATATTTCAGCTGAATACCCTAAATCATGGAACAGACAAGTTCTCAGCTTTCAGACTGTCCATTTACATTTTGAAACAGTACCTCCATTAACAACAGGAGCACCATCTGCCCTTTCGCCTCACTTAACCTTGTACCAGTTTCAGTTTCACAAGTAACCTCAAGTTAGCTGGTGTTACTAATATAAGCAGATGAAAACCCCACGTGCCAGATAATACAAGAGTTACGTATGTTGTCAAAAGACAGTTGAACTTGCCTGTTCCTGGGAGGATATTGTCTGAGTGTTGTCAGTGGAGAAGCAGCAGGCTTGAAGGTTGGAGATGTGAATCCATTGATAAATCCAGTATTTGGAAATGGTGTTACCTAAAAAAACCCCAAACATATTGCATGCTCATCACTATAAAGAAAATCAGTGTTATTTTTTCTTAACCCTGTATTTTACATCATTCCATGCAGGACAGGACTTAAAAGATTGGCTCAAACAGCAATAAAGCATTTGTCCAGTGCCCTGTAACCAACTTACAAATGCTGTTTTTTGAGAAGACAGCCACTACACATATTCAATTCCTGATAATTAAAGAGGGTTGAAAAACATCAAGTCAAAATTCTTGGAGCTAAGTTAAATAATTCTCCTTCTATTTCACACCATACTATGCAGGACTTTGGAGTACAGAGATACTTCTTTGTCAAAGAATCTCTAATCTACATAGTCTGTAATTGTTTTTCTTACAATTCATATGTGAATCCCTCCCTAAAAAGAAAAAAAATTCTTTTTAGTTACTCATTTAACTGCCATGTGATACCTAAATAAAGCCCAGAGAATAAATGGATGTTAAGTGGAGCTCTGATGCTTTTCATTATCTTACCACCTTATTCCACACGAGAAATACTTTCCTCTTGTCTGAAAAAGCAGTATTAGCAAAAGATTTCCTGGTGTGGGTGCATATCAGTGCCTTGCATTAACAAGATATCTCAAAATCTGAAGCATGTTCAAAGTAATTTCTCCAACCTCACTAGCTCACTTTTATCTTTTTTATTTAAATGTACAAGTGAGTTTCATTTAGGAAATGTTACTGTTAGCATCAGCAAATGCTTACTGGTCTTCTCCCCTGAAAATAACTACAATGCAGAACAGTAAGAATCTTTCTACACTTTATTAAATGATGAGAAACAGCTGGGAGTAACAGCATTTCCTATAAAGGGATCTTTAAACTTGACTGAGCTTTCTTGCAGAAGTTAAAACAAATCACTTATCGATGGAAAAGAAAATTTAACACCAAAGCTGTCATGTCAAACTACTGTTAGCCTAACTCAGCATGCATGACAGCAAATGCTACCTCAGACTCCACAGAAAGGCAATTAGAAGTGTAATAAAGCTCTTTGAGGAAGAGAGTTTCATCAAAATACTGCTTTGAAGCACTTTCTGGTTTCAGAGTTACAACTTGAATGCTGCAAAATTCCATAAAAGCTCGTAAGCAACCACTGAGCCTGAATAACGAGAAGACACTAAACATACTAAAGGAAAACAAGTTTAACCCACTGCTTAAAGGGACCTTAGCAATGTTTAACCCTTCTTTCTTTATAATGATGGATGATCCTTTTGGAGGAAAAAAAGTTTTGTGTGTTCTGGGTTTTTTTGTTTGTTTGTTTGTTTTTTGTTTGTTTTTGTTTGGGTTTGTTTGGTTTTTTCCCCATTTTCCAGTAATACCAAAAGCATCTCCACAGAAGTCACCTGCTGAAACGTACTTTCTTTTCAATTTTTTTTTCCCCCAAGCAGGACAAAGTAGATATTTTCTCAAATACTATAAAGTACATGATGAGGAACTAGGAAGTTTTAAAACTGAGGACATGCGTTGCCATGTTCTAGTTTCAGAACAAAAATGGTATGCCCATACTACTGAGTGTATTCAACCTCAAATTAGAGACCAGAGAAAGCACTGTTAGTGCTTCTGCTGAAGCAGAAGAGAGAAACTTTGCTACAGAGAGCACAGAATTCTCAGAATACCCTGAGTTGCAAGGGACCCACAAGGATCACAACGCCAGCTCCTAAGAGAATGGCCCATACAGGGATCAAACCCACAATATTTTCATACAAGTCTCTACATACAAACTATAACCCTGTCTCATGAAAATTATTCCTGTGTCATGGCTCCTCAGGGTCCCTGTTCTCCTCAAGTGATTTCTATTCAAATATAGCTCTTCCTACAAAAGAATCAAGAAACATCATGTTACATTCCTGTACATAAAAATGCAACTAACCAGTGACAACACACTGCAAAACAGTGGGAGGTAAAGCTCAGATAGTTAATATTCTGTTTTGACTAAGAAAGGTACAAGATCTTAATGCTGGCAAACTTGTAATGTCTTCCATAAAGGACAGGACTAGTAAGTTTTCTGGAATACAAAAAATTCTAGGATAATATAAGGCAAGTACACAGTATGCTGTGGCCAATTAATCTATGTCTTCTACAGCAGTCAAATCCAGCCACTTCAGTATCCCACGGCAAGACTGTGCAGTAGTCAGTCTCTAGTTTATCTAGAACAATCACATTCATTGCTGCTTACCAAGGTAGCTTTCTTGAGGAATAACATTGCTCACTATGCTACCTTGTTGCCTCTGCATTCTTCATCCTCCACCAAAGCCTTCCCCTGCAAGGGCTCTGGTTACCGTCCCTGCCCGTGAAGTCTTCAGCACACCAACTTTTTAATTAGCTTGCTATTCAGTACACAAGAAGTTTGCTCAAGTTTGTTCAAGGACACCTTAATCCTCTGCCAAAAAACCTCTAAAGAACTGCTAATTTTGAGCACTGCTACCCTCCTTTCTTTAAGCTGCAGGTAAAGAGGCATTTCCAGAGGGAAGAAAGAGGCTCCAGCTAGGAAACCTGAGCCTCCCAGTCATTACAGGACTCTATGTCCATGTTAGTTTTTGTAGAATAACAAAGGCAGACTAAAAGGGACCAAGGTAATTCTGATGGGACTGTCATAATGAAGAAGATGGAAGCAGGATTGCAGGATGAAGTGCATGTCCCATTAGAGTATATAAGGATTATTGCTATCACCCCTAGTTGTAAGGCTTACCAATAGCCTCTTTAAGAAAATTTAAAAAAAAAAAAAGGCAATTTAAAAGTGATTTTTGTAATTGGCAAAAGTAATTTTATTTTTTTATTGCCAAAAGAGATATTACTTTAGCACAGAAAATATTTTGCTTTATGAACATGACAAATAGTGTAATTCAGCATGTCAACCTAGAGCCTAATTTCCTGCTAGAAGATCAAGATACCACAATACCCTTAGCTATCTGATTCTATTAAGTTTATTCTGTTCATATCAGAATTGCTTTTTCTGGTATTCACATACATATTCTGAAGATCTGATTTCTAAAGAAGCTTTCAAACACTGCTAGAAGAAATTCTTACTTTCTTTTGGTAATGCTTAATTAATAACCTTTACTAAAGAACTGCCTCACCTCAAAAAGAATCACACTCCAGCCTGAGACCACATACAATTTTCAAATAATTCATCTTTGTACACCATGGGAAGGATTCTGAAGAACTGTTTTTCAAGAAGAATTAGAATCTTAAACTCCCCTCTTCAGGACTCATATGCTTCCTACACCTCAGTAGTCCGTAAGAAAATAAGACCAACTTTGAAAAGAACAGAATTCTTTCACCATCAAGAGACTTACCAATGAAGGGTCAAGGTAGCTGTGCGTGGCTGACCAGGTCTGTGGGCCAATTAAGCTGTACAATGGGAAGTGCTGCTGGGGACTGTATACTGGAGGTATGTAAAAGGATGTTGTGTAACGCTGCTGCGTGTAGAGGTTCATATCCAGAGGTCTATATCCATTCTTTGGCAAAAACGTGTTTATAGCTATTGCCTTCGCTTTTATCCTTGCCTGCAAAGGAGATGAGGTTATTTACTACAGTGGCCTTTCAAATGAAATCAGGATAGTTCAAACTAGCAGCTCTCAAATTTTAAATGGACACTTGTCAGTAACTGCTTTCTCCTTCAAGGACAGCAGCAACAGCTGAATGCTTCCCTGCTGCCTGATGCTGGGCTGGATATGCCACTCTCAGAAAGGAGGAAAAGGAGAAGTAGCACAGTATGTGCTACATTTCAAAACCCAACTCCAGGTCACATGGCTCCTGAGACTGCACCACTTAAAATTATATTAGAAAACACAGTGAATGCCACAAAAACCAGAACATACCCACAAGCTTCCCCCCAAACCCCATAAAGCTCAATTTACCTTAATTGGTTTTCCTTGGAAAGTTTTCACTTCTTCTCTAAGGTATCTGTAAGCCTTTAAAAAAGTAATTACCATATTTGTCATATATAATTTAAACACAGGAAACTTACATTTTAACAGGCTAAGGCTAACAATAATTCCTGGAGTGCCTGCTAATGTTACACTATAGAAAACTCTCATATATAATCTGCATTCAGCAAGATTTAAGTTAACATTGCAGAAGTGCTTCAGTAGCATTAAAACAAGACTTTAATGCTTATGACTGAAGCATTTCAATGCTTCACCCAAAATATCAATGTTCTCTGAACAAAAAAATCATAGCTTTGGTCAGGATGTCAAAGATAAAGATGAACAAGATAAAACTCCTAGGAGTTATGTTTAACAGTACTGATAACTCAATACTAGCTCAGGGGAAGCACTACTGTTTTTAGAGGTTTGAGTATTACCCTTTTTACATTGTTACACATATGTAATACCGTTTAAGACCTGTCAATTCACCCTCATCTCATCCTTGTTTACTGTTACATTCTAATATGCTTCAAAAGATAGTGTTACCTGCTGTGCATCAGCTTCTGATTCAAATGTGATGAACCAATTGTCATTATAGGCAAACTCACAGTTGATGAACTTAGGCAAATTGTCTCCTTTGAAAAGTGCTTCAACCTCCTGAAGAAAATGGTTTGATATGACGAGGTAGAGAAAAGAGTGGAATAAAAAAAAAAAAAAGGATGGAGAGAAGAAAACATCAATTTGAAGTGCAAAACTTCAGAACTCCAACCAAGAAAGTGAGAAAGTACTTTCAGGTTTACAAAACAGAACTGAAGAGTTCAGAACACCTGCAGCAACAATTGTTCTCTATAATTTCCTTGCTAGCTAAGAGGAATTCAAACAAGCACTAAGGCCATAATGCAAGAGAAGTTGCCTGCTCTCTTTAAATACGGGGACATAAACTATTTAGGCCATAGAGAGACATTTAACCTTGGCACCAAGTGCTGAAAGATGTCCATCTCTCCCCTGTCCCCAAAACCATGGAGCCTCACAAAAACCTGTGCATACGGCACGGGACAGGAGAATTCTGCCCTTTCAGCAGAAACCTGGAGATAAGCTTCAGCTCAAATGTCTACAGATTCACATGTTTGAAACAGGGTTTATGTTACCTCAAACATAATCAGCTAGTTTCTAGAGCAAACACACACCTTGGACTTCATAGTTGTTTTTATTTATTTGAGTATTTTTTGTTTTTCTCATGGAGTTGAGGAGAGCAGCATCAAAAAGGCAATGCAACTCGGGAGGCCTTACAGTATTTTGGAACTTTGTTGTCTGATACTGCTGTACCAGGAAAACATAGGCTATTAAATCTGGCCAGTCAAGTCTAGATTTTTTCAGTCTGGCAAATTTAAACACAATGTATAAAACACTTCACTTGAGACCAACTCTTTTGAAAATAAAGACTCCTCATAACTTTGTCTCAAACATTTAATAGTGACCACCCAGAGGTAACACATCCAATATGACAAACTGATAACAGCAACAAAAATAAATATTAAAAAAAAAAATCTACAATACTAAAAGCTAGGCAGTCTTTGAAAGGTTTCACCTGACTTGGAAAGCTAGAAGAAGCTATTATCTTTAAGCTATGTACATAGCAAACATCCAACTTCTTCCTTCCAATTCATTTTATCATGTTCCTATTTATTAAGGCCACTTACTTTTTGTTGTACGTATTTAAATTGCAGTACTTTGATTTTTGTCTGAAGACTATCAAGAAGATAAACTCTTTCAGAATCTTTAGTCTTCCTTGTAAAATTAAATAGAGGAGAAAATAAAATATCTACTCATCAAAAATCTGTGCCTTCTCTCCCCTTTTGAAAAGTCAAGATGGTCTAATCAACAGCCCCACGATTTTTTCCAATATTCCCATTAGTCATAGTCCCACCTACTTCAGAGTTGCATTGAGGATCTTTCAAAGAATCAAGTTCTCCACTGTTGCACTTGTTCCACAAGCCAGAGGAGATCCTTAAGTGACTTATTTACAGCTCTCAACTCAGCATTATGGAAGCATTTGCAAAGCTTTAAGTACTTTACTAGAACAAGCTTCAAGGTACAACAGTGGCATTTTCTAGGCTAAGACTTATCTTCCTTCGCCTTTGCTATTTATCCAAGTATCTGAGCACTAAGTGCATATGGATAAGGCAGCGTGCAAGAAAATGATGGCACCTCTACCAAAGCCAGCCCTGTCAGTTTCTCAGCCCCCTGCAGAGCTACAGGTTCTACCACAGTCTTCCTAGGAGCAACACGCTCCTATCAAACATATTTATTATCCCAGCAAACACAATAAACTAAGTTTAGGAAATGCTGTGAGAAACTAGGTGTATTAAGAAATGTAACATGCCTATTGAAATCTAGAAGAAATCTAGCTTCCAAATCCTAAGGGAAAAAGTATTCTTTACACAACAAGGAAACACTTACTTCAATGGGAGTAGATTCGGGTACTTCACGTAAAATCACAATACAGCGATTCTGATTTGGCCTAACTTTTTCCCCCTTCTCATCCACTTGAACTAAAGGCAACGCTAGGAGAGAAGAGACAAGAATGTATTTCAGAGGTCAGCAACCATAATAGCTTAGCACACCAAAAGATGCTGTGAACACAGTTATGCAATGCAAAGCTTCAAATGTTTTTGAACATTACGAAATAAGAAGTGAGAGCACTTTCAAACATATGAAAACAAGTAGACATGTTCCTTATAATTTTCATGCTCTTCCAGCCTAGAAATTGCCAATTCATTAGCTTTTTCTTCTAAAGCATACATTGAGTCAAAATGAGTCATGTTCTTTTTTTGATTCTTACCACAGTGGTAATTTGTCCACTAAACGTCCACTAGTCTTTTCTGAGAAATTATTCACAGAAACACAGAACACCAGGTTGGACCCCTGGACCATCTGGTGCAACCCTTCTTGGCAAAACCATGGTCTAGACAGGATGGCCCAGCTCCCTGTCCAGCTGAAGTAGTATCTTCGAAGTATGCAAGTGTTGGGGAACACAGTACTTCCCTGGAAAGATTATTCCAATGGCTAATTTCTCTCATTGTGGAAAATTTTCCTCTTGTGTCCAACTGGAATCTCCCAAGAACTAACTTGGACCCATTACCCCCATCTTTACCAAGTGACTTTTTGTATAAAAGGAGTTTTCATGTTCTTTGCAGCCACTGTTTAAATACTGGAACATGGTAATAAGGTCTTTGTCATAGAAGGTGAATCAGGTTTGTCAAGCACAATTTGCCCTTGGTGAATCCACGCTGATTTTTTATGGCCAGGTGCTTCATTTGACCTGTGATAGACCCCAAGAGGATTTGTTTCATAATTTTCCCAGGAAATGAAGTAAGACTGATGGGCATGTAATTTTCTGGGTCCTCCTTAAAGCCCTTCTAATAGATGGGGGTAAAATAAGCCTTCCACTCCTCTGGGACATCCCTTAATCTCCACAACTTCTCAGAGATTATGGAAATCATCATTACCACTGGTCTTACATATTATCATTGGTCTCACAATGATGTCAGCCAGCTTTCTTAACACCTATGGATGGATATTTGTCAGAGTCCATCAATTTGAAGGGGTCAAGCTCCTGAAATAGTTCACACATCAACCCTTCCTTCACTGAAGTGGGTCTGTGGTTACATCAACCTGGGTCAACCCTGTTCCCAAGGTCTGGGGCCCAACAGTGCTCGTAAAAGCGGTGAAGAAATGTTAAGTGTCTTCTCAGTGTCACTGGTGACCAATTCACCTCTCCTGTTTAACAGAGGGCCAATATTTTCCTTCTGTTTCTGTTCATTGTTTACATACCTGAAGAACCCTTTCTTGTAGTTTTTGACATCTCTGGCCAAATTCAATTTGAGCTGAGTTTTTGCTTTTCTAATTGCATCTCTGCACACCCTGGCAATGCCCTTGTAGCTCTCAACAGATATTCATCCACTCTTCCATCTCTGGTATGCCTCTCTTGGTTTTGAGTAGACTCAGAGGCACAGAGTTAAGTCAAGGGAGTCTCTTGATCCACCTACTTCCCTTACCTTTAAAGGAGATGAAATATTTTTGTGCTTCCAGGAGAGAACTCCCAGCACTCATTAGCTCCTTCATCCTTCATGGAAGCTTCCCACAGAAGCTTCCCTCTTAACTGTGCTCTGAACAAGCTGAAGTTGGCTTCTCTAAAATCTAAAACCTTAGTACCAACCCTCAGTGTGCTCAGCATGACCCCAAACCCCACAGTGCTGTGACTGCTGCAGCCAAGGCTATCACTGAGATATTACAAAGCAGGTTTTCTTGGTTTCTGAGTAGCAAGTCCAGCAGTGCCTCATTCCTGGTCGGCACATCTGACACTCGAATGGGAAAACAATTCTCTACACATTCCAGAAACCTGATGGGTGGCGTGAGCTGCTGTACTGTTCTTCCTACAGATGTCTGAGAAGTTGAAGTCACCTGTAAGAAACAGGTTTGGCTGACCCAAAACTTGCTTAAGTGACCCAAATATTGCTTTGTTGGTCTTATTGTCTTGGTTTGGAGGTACTGTAAGATTCCCCTTGGAGACAATCCCTCTGGTCTTGACCCAGAGGTTTTCCACAGAGTTTCCACAATTGATGTAGCTGACTTCTATACATTCAAGATTCTCCTTAAAAGATAAGTGTGACTTCTCCATCTCTTCTCCTCCACCTGTCTTTACTAAACAGCCTTGAGACATCCACTGTGATCCTCAAATTATGTAAGTTATCCCACCATGTCCCACAATTTAAACTCACATTGTTCTTATTTGCACGATCATTATCAAATACCTGCAGTATGAAGTAGCTTTGATAAAACAACACTTCTATAACTGTGATGGTCTAAACTGGAAGCTGCTTGGGCTGTTTAGTGCTTTACAGAAAAATAATGGCCTATTATTGCAATACATTAAAAAAGGAAAGAGATTGAAAATTCAGATGAATAGTCCTATGGCAATAACCAAAATGCTTTCTAAAATTGAGAAACTTTTACTTACATCTCAGCACTTCAACAATCAAATCCATATCAGTACTGAGTTTCTTGACATGATCAAGGTTTGCTACTGTCATTATTGGCACATACTGATCACTGTCCATCTGTGATATAAGGTACATGTCACTGGCAAGATTTTCTCTGTTGGGAGAAAAAAGTAAAAATGGAGAAGTGTCACAGATACAACTCTTTCCAACAAACTTGAAACAAAAACTTATCAAATAGTAGAAGGCAGATTCCTTCAGCATTTTCACTAACTAATTAAAATCATTGGCTTAAATAAAGCTTAAGTTTCTCAGCTTTAATTTGCAAAAAAACCCAAACCCAGTAAAATTCATAAAAATTCATCTGATCTGTAATTGCTTGTAACTACTCTCACTTCAAATCAACATATTTGCTAGTTTATGCTTTAGGTTTCATGTTTAAGTTTCATGTAAGCTTTAAGAGGTACATCAATATGATACTCCAAAATTAGCATATTCATTTCCCCAAATTCTCATCCTTTCCACTTTAGTTTTAAGTGACAGATGAGAAATATATTAACACACATCCCAAGTTCAGGTACTGGGTCTTGTTAGCTATCCTCCAGTTTGCTACGTTTATGGATATACATACCTAGATAAACAGAATTCCAGTGTCTTTTTCAGTAATTCTCGTAAATCTTCCTGACCTTCTGGCTGCAACTGCTCGTTTCCACCTAATAATTAAAATGCTTCATATTAAAATGTAGTTCTGTTGTTACACAATAGATATTTTAATCAAACCATCATGTCTATTACTGACTACATAACTAGTAACAAGTTTTCAGATTCAATAGACGTTCATTATGTATTAATACACCAACCACCAAAATTGCATGAGAACACTTTTTATTTAAGACAGAGAAAATATGTCTGATTTCACTTATTAACCTCTGATCTCTAAATACATGAAAATCTGAAGCATTTTAGAAGCACAGCTACATGCCCATCTTGAAGTAAATACTGAACTGATTTAGCTCATAGGTCTGTCTTCCATTCTCAGGAAGCTAACCCATCTCTAGCTGACTAAACCCTGACTAATGCAGCAAGCCAGCAATGCAATGGAGGCACCCCATACTTCAGCCCTCACTCAAAATTACCAATACACTAACTCAGAAAAGAGTTTCAGAAATGAGGTTATAAAATACCAGCAGATATACAGTCTACTAACAACAGATGTGTAACGGACAGCCAGTTAAGAAGGTAAAATTAATCTTTTTCTTATACTTGGGATTTTCAAAATTATCACATGGAAAACGTGGATTTTATGTTTATTTTAATTTAGACCCAATATACTAATGTCAGTAGAGGTTAAACTAATTGTGCCAGTGGGAGAACTGTTTAAAGATTAGAAGTTTAGTGTGGCTTTTAGAGATTTATAAAACATCCAGTAACATGTTATTTAATATATACGTATGTAAATTAGTTTTTTTAAAAGTATTGCCCTGTATACCCTTCCCTTTAGTAACTTTCATCCTTTCCTTAACCATTCTTCTTCCTAAAGCAACTTCTAATTTCCTCCCACCATGCTGTCCTTCATGTGTTCTACTCTGAATAAGGTAATGCCAACACCTGAGAAATACACTTCTGTTCTACCCACTATTTTCCTTCCCCATCTGCCCTTTCTTTCTTGTCCAAAACCTAGCAAGGACCAAAATTATATGCATTTTAAAAAATAATTATTAAAAAATTAAAAATCAGACTTCAGATTTGGGACCACCTGTGTCACTATTCATCAGGCGGAACAGACCCAGTGTGCTGTTCAGCTGCTTACAATACTATCTGACTCTTGTTAAAAGTTAACTATTTTGGGCACATAAAGAACATGCTGACAAGTTTTAACACTAATCTGAAGAATACTGTTCCCTTCTAGACTGTGAGGCATCTTTAATACAATTTTCTATTTGTCATCCAGTTATTACTTAATATTCCCCAATAGTACCCTTAAATAGAAGAGTCAAAGTGAGCTTTGAGTTTTTCAACATAAGCAAGGATGATGCCACAACTGTGTCTGATTGTAGTTGTCTTGATTTCCAGCTATTATGGATGCTCTACTGGTAATTTTAAATACATGTTATAAAATCAGCTAAACACAATGAACAAGGAACAGACCTCCCGTGAATCTCAAGAAACGCCCAACACATTTTCCTCTCCTTCCCATCCCTCATCTCAGTTCAAATAGTAATCCCACATGCATCTTGCAGACCTTCTGTCCCTTTCAGTGAAATATAAGCATGGCTAAATCTCTATGCTACTTTCCAGAAAGTTCTTAAAACATACCATCTGGTATAGACTACAGCTACGAACAGTTGCACTGAAAAAAAATCCCGAAAGTTCAATAAATAAGAATGTAAAATGTTGCTTATTTTAGCATTTTAAGACTGGTCTTTCCACACATTAACATTATTACTTGAGACACAAACCCTATGTGAATCTCACCTCACTACCTGACCCAACTAGAACCATGCAGCTTAAACTGGTAGATATCTAAATGTAAATATCTACACCAGGGATTTCCATTCAAAATCATGCTCCAGAAAATACTCAGTTAAATCCAGAACATTTGTGCAGCACCTCATAAGACTTATACCAGAATAAGACTGGTCTCCAAACATCCTAAGACAGGATTTTCTAGGGCCTGTTTACAGCATATATTGAACAACAGAAATGTCGTAGTTTGGGGGGCTTTGGGGGTTTTTTTAGATGCTCACTGTTCAACTCAAAACACGTGGCTGTTTCTTTCAAAACCAAGTCCAAGCAAGTATTCGCTTTCTCTTACCTGTCTGGGTGGTTTCATGCATAGACTCATACTCAGAATGATCGAGAGCCAAAGGGTTCATATCTGTCTGGTCTGACACCGACACAGCTGGTGACGGCTCCGGCAGCTCTGTCAGCACTGCATTCTGATGCTTTTTGTCGCCATCACCGTTGGCATCCAGTCCTGCAGCACAGATGACAAACACTCAGAAAGCATTCTTTCTAATCGCTGTGACTTCACAGTTAAACCTAAATCTGAATTAAAGTTGCTTACACGTTTGGTTAAATTATTTTAAAACAGAAAACTAAAATTGAGAAAATTCTGCACTGAATTCTAACTTTTGCTTGAGCAACAGCTAGAAAATATCATTCATACCTTCTTTACAAGAATCTGGAGGTTGGTCAGGTATTTCTTCCCACGTTTTGCTCACACTACCATCAGCGGCACCACTTGCTTCCAAGTGTAACATATGATTTCCCCACACCTTTGCATTAGGGTTTAACTCGGAAACCTTGGTTGACTCCTACAAAAAGAAATTGATATGCACTTTGTGGAAGCACAACATGCATCTGTGTGTAGATATGTACAGTTTCAAGTAACAGTACTAGACATACAACTCAAGACTGTACTGTCAATTTTTTTCACACCTGAATATATTAACTGAATTCCAATAATCATTTCAGGTACAAAACCAACTGAATTGTGCTGCACAGAATTAATTTCCCTGATTAAGAATCACCAGAAAATAGTCAAGCAGGGTAAACAACAATTTCAAACTTGTACTTGACCTAGACTTCGGGTAGTTCTCTAATATACATGTCTACTTGATGTTGACTATATTGCTATTGTATCTGTTTCTGCAAAATAACATTAAAGAAGAATAATCAAGAAAATACCAAAGTGCAAGGTGTTTCTTTTTTCCACACTTACATAAACATGTAACATTTTTAATGAAGCATTATGGAAAATTGAAAGCAATAATAAGATGTGCATGACAACTTCTGTCATTACTTCAAGAGGAAGAACAGTGCATTAGGACAGATAGGATGAATTACCAGATCCAATTAAATCATCAAGACAATCTCCTTTAACCTGGATTGGAAAGGCATACATTTAATGATTATATATGGTTATATACAACATACAAATGGTTATATATCTGTGCTTCAGAGAGATTGCTCTCTGCAATGCCAGCATCTACAATACTTTTTTGATAGTAACATGAGACAGTTTTCTCTTGTGTTGCTACTGTTTGAGCAAAATGCATTAAATTATTCCATACCAAGAATATACTTGGAATGTTTTAACATAATCATACTGGGAAAGAGGATTGCTCATACTAAGACACACAATAAAAAAGCTTATTAAAGATTTGTTTTGTGAATTTATGGATGCTAGGAACATTGCAACATTTAAGACAGGCACTCCAAAACTCCATGAAGCTTTAAATCTTCCTTAACACATGCACTCAGATAGTTATTATCATAGTGCATAGAAAATATATCCAGAAAGTAAAAAGACCTAAAAAAATCTCAAACACATCTATCGAGTGACAGAGAAAGACTTACAAAAAGTGGAAGTGTTTGACATAACTATCTGAATAGTAACAATTCAAAGATGACAGCAAGTTCCATCAGTTTCCATTTTTAATATAAAAAGTTCCCCCAGGAGACAGCAAACAGCTCTAGTACAACCTACTGCCCACTCTGCAAATGCTGGGCAAGGTCAGAGCAACTGCTCCACCACAGTCAGTGAGGGGAACAATATCCAGCACTGGCTCTGCTCAGCAGGGAAGGAAAAGGAGCAGCAGCTGTTTGCAGGTTGGCTTTCACAGGGTGAGTAAGGTTGGAGAGGACAACTGGAGGTCATCCCATCCAACCTCCCTGCTCAAGCAGGGTCCCCCAGAGCTCCTTACTCAGGACTGTGCCCAGACAGCTTCGTTTGTTTCCTATCCCAGCTTTCCAAGATCCAGCCCAGCTCATTCCCCTCACTTCTCCTGCAGCGACTCCTTTCTCCAGCACTTCAAAAGATCATCTCCAGAAGTGAGCAAATATTTCCTAATTGCTACCAAACAAGAACTTCAGGAAATCCACAAACATTTCTTCCTATACAAAGGTAAAGAGCACTATTAACAGTCTGCAGAAAGCTTCGTTTCCCACACTGAAGAGATTATCTTGAGTTCATCTGGAATTGAGAATCTGCAATCAAGTCACTTTGCCCAATGTTTAAACTTTCACACAAAGTAAACAGAAACAAAAAGAAAAAAAATATCAATATTCAGCAACATTTTGAACTTCTGTATTCTGTGCAGCACTCAGTTCTGCAAAGGAAAGGGAGTAGTCAGCTTCAGGACAAAATAACATGATCTATTTGACTAAAGAAACCACAGTTTGACTTGGCTTAGTCAAACTTCTAGCTTCAGCTTCAAGCTTTAACACAAAATCACTTCTGCAGAATACTTACAAATTCATCTTTATTTTGCCATCCCCAAGTACCAGCATTTTCTGGTGCTAGCAGCTGATATGGGTATCTTTCCACTGTGTATGAAGCACCTGTTAAATCTTCAGCTTCATTTTGGAAGTTTTCAGTAACTATACAAAGTCTGTCATTCTTCATGGTATCACTAGAAACTGCATTATTCCATAAAAAGCCCACCAGATATTCACCACTACCAGCAGGAACTGTGTCAGAAAACAGCTGATTTGTCCAATCAGCATTGTCAGTCTGAAGACCGATGACATGTGGCCACATTTCAATGTGGGGATTTTGTCTTTCCAGTTCATAGGAGTGCTGCTCTTGGTCACTGGATACATCTCCCATCAGATCTAACACGCACTGCTCACTGCCTCGCTGAAATCCTGGGGCACCAGGAGTGGCACTCTGTATTTCATAGGAAGGAGTAGCAGCATATTTGTCTACCTGCTCTGGGTCAACACAAACTCCAACCTCTTTGTTTGAGAAAATCTTGTGATCTGGCGGCATCTGTTCCCAGGTTGTGGTCAAGTTATTTGTTTGAGGATTTAATATGTAACTGGTGTTTTTCAATTCAGTAGTCTTGGTTTCTATCTGCTTCAAATTCCCACTGGTAAAAGGTTCTATATTCCCAGCTGATACACTAAAACCAGTGAGGTTCTCCTTTGAGTGGATGTCAACACACTGTTTTATTTCATCATCCTGAAGATTATATTCATTTACATCACACTTACTTTTTTCAGGAGTTTCTGATCTTTCTTCAGTAAAAGGCACAACAGAAACTGCGGTGTTCCCGACCTCTGGCTCTGGACTGGCACAGTGACGAAACTCAGGCTCTTCCACTGGTTTGTCATGCACGTGAGAACATGGATTTTGACACAGTGATGGTAAACAATTATGGGTTTCATGCAAGAGATGACTGGCATCTTCCAAATTTTTAGTGTCATCTTTTAATTTTACGCTCTTGTACATACAACTGTCCATGGTTGCAGGTACAGTGGAGTCAGAGGGAGAGTTCTGGCTGTGAGACAAGCCTTCATTGCAATTGGAGATGCCTCTATCACAATCCACAATGTCAGCATCCAAATTTGGGTTTACATTTTTCGCATTGTTATCAATGGATTCATTTAGGTGAATGTCAAGTTTTGTCTGTTTTACAGATTCTACTACATCCCCAGCTATTTTGGCTGACTCTGTCCCTGCACTCCATTGATCTTCTACTGCGTGGAAGAAACATGCATCCTGCTGTTCATCTTGTCTACAGTTCATGTCTAGTTTATTCATATCCTCACATTCCACAGGCACAGAAGAGACACTGGTGTTGTTATCTGAATTTGAATATTTGCATACTTTACTTTTACTCCCTGGTGACTCTTGTGAAACCTGACATTCTAGGCTGGTTTCCTTTAGGAACATGTCATCTGTGCGTGGGTTCTGTTGTTCATGAGATGTCAAAGTGCCAGCACTTACCCAGGGGCTAGTTCTGCTCAAGTTACCAGCTTCCTCAGTCACGTCACCAGTGACACTCTCACAGACACCTTCCTCTGTGCCACTATGGCCTGCAGCTTCAGCTGATGTCATGATTTCAGTGCAACCCTTAACTTCAGTTTGAAAATCAGAACTTCCCTCCAAGTTTTTGTGCATTTCAGTCATATTCAAAGCTTCACAGCTATGCAAAATTGTACCTGTGCATTTCTCTCCATCTTTCAAGGACTCTTCAAAACTGCTGTGATGTTCACTACAGTCTGGTGCAAACATTTGACTATCACCATGAGTTCTTTCAAGTGTTTTCTTTTCCACATTTGAGTTTACTTCACTTTCTGGCTCTACAAAGCAGACTTCAAGTTTTTCTACATTGTCCATTTCATGTAACTCTAGTGATAATTTAAAGTTACCCTTCGTGTTCTCTGCCATCTGTTTAGTATTTGTTTGCTCTACAACACTTGAGGGACGCCTACTTAAACCAAGTGGTATAATATCAGAATCATTACTTCCCTCAGTTTTTCCTGAATTGCATACTACAGTGTCTAACAAGACACTGGAAATACAATCACTGTGTTTCACCTTTTCTGAGTTAGGGCTGTACTGGTCCTTTTCAGCAGCATCCACAGGCTTTACAGAATCACAATCTGTATGGAGTGATTCATTCCAACTGACAGCACTCCCTATGGAATATACCTCCTCCTGCTGATTCTCAGGGATGATTTCATCAGATACTTTTGTTCTTAAGACATCTGTTACTGTATTGTCAGTATTTAACTTATGCACCTGACACCTATCAGTCAGTGAGTTATCAAAAGATTCGATGTCTATGCTACAATATTCCTTTCTGTCCTTTTCCTGTGTGTTTGGCCTATCCTCTTTTTTATGCTCAAACAGTTCTTCCTGTGAATTAAACTTAGCTTCCACTTGTGCCAATTGCTGCACTGGAAATTCCTTCCCAGTGTCTAGAGGTCGTGCCATGCTGCACATTCCTTCATCAGTAACAGCTGAGTTATCTATGTCTGCTGCAGTCTCTTCATGCACAGTAGCTGGCACCTCTTCGTCCCCTGTCAGATCTTCGGCATCTACAACACAAATACTGTAAAACTCCCTATCTTTCACATTTTGACTGTTGTCTACATCAAGATAGGAAAGTGTTGGAGGGACCTCTCTATATGAACTTGAAACTTTCTGTAGGCTGTCACCCTTGCTGTCTTTAACATTTACTGTTGTTTCATTTTGCCTTGAATGGTCACACGTCACTGCATAATCCTCCAGAAAATTTCTATTTAAGGAAATTTCACTCTGTAAGCCTTTGTCCAGAATGTCTGCTACATGTGAATTCGAAATATGATCAAATAAGCAATGCTCCTGTACAGCTACATTTTCATTATTAATATTACTATTAATATTTTCTATATTGTTCATGTGCTGACCATTGCTATTAGATTTTTTAGGTGCTCTTTTTTTAATAACCCTGTCTTTCTTTTCTTCACTTTTCTGCAGATTTCCATGTGTACCAGAGACTTTCAAGAGGTGACTAAAGGAATTAAAGAAGCTAAAAGGTCT